GGGTGCCCCACGAGGAGCAAAACACCTAAGGAATAGAAGCTGCAGACCCACTGCCCAATGTGTAATCATTACAAGGCCAAGTCTAAACCACAGGAGCCCATATGTCACGAAAAAAATTATGCTGAACACTCTGACAGAAATTGCAAAAGCAGTCGAGTCCCATTATCTGTTGAAAAATGCCTGTTACTCCCAGAGCAAAACACGCAACTCATGCTGACCAATACAGGACCATGTCCGCCATTGTGTTGATTGAGTTTGACGCAGAGGGAAACATATTGCGATCAACCGGTCATCCTAAGCAAGAATAAGCAAGTGCATACTGAACTCCAAAGACCAAAGCATAGTAGACAAACATCCTGTAACCAAAAACACAAGTTGAATGGAATTAAGTTATCCCTTCACAAGAAAATATCTTTATCATTTGCTGGGAATTGGTGCGCATGAGTTAACAGGAATAAATCAGCTTATTCTGAGCTTTGATTTAAAGAGTTTCATTATCTCACCACTCCCTCTAAAGGTTATAATATATACATAATGTTGCTGTGACAGTTACATCAGGCATTGCAGTCAACAGGTATTGTACAAGTTTTAGACAATTGCATTAAGGTATGCCAACTACTTGCATTTGTGGCTGTGGCTGTGATCTTTACCTCTTTGTAATGGTGTAACCTTAACTCATGTAACGTACTCAAACAAAAAAATATACAGATCTCTTGTGACTAGACGAAGAAATCTGGACCATCCACAGTTTAATCACAGATTGATTTGGACTCTTCTGCTTGGATGAGCATGAAACTGAAAGGAGGTGTAAATATGATTTAATTATCATTATTGTGTAATCATGTTGCTAATTTATCTGTATTTAAATGTACATTTCCAACACATTCAGCAGATTCTGAATAAAGCAATCAGAAGCTAAAAACATTTTGTGAACTTTGTACACACAAAGTAAACTATATGATGACTTGTCTAGTGCATAATGTTCCCTGATGATATATTTATCATTGAACAGGCCATGGTGAGCCAAAACAAAGTGGTCAGACAAAAAAGGGCAGAACACATAGGACTTTGTGGTGCAAAAGGCGTGTAAAGTATCACTGATGAACTAAAAGATGAAGGATTATGCAGTTCACATTGGCCCAGAATGAACAGGATAATCTTAATAAATGTAATATTAATAATAACTTTATTTGTATAGCACCTTTCGTAAAAGAAATGCAGCTTAAAGTGCCTTACAACAAAAAATTACATGCACAGAGTGCTACACATGAAAAAAAAGAGACATAGCATGAGCATAAAAACAGGGCTAGAATACCATTATTTATGTTAAATAAGATGGAAAATAAAACCTACTTAATAATATAGAAAACCTAGATAAAAAATAAAGATGGAAATAGAACA